GACAGGGCAAGAGATATGCAGTTGTTATATAAGAACTGTGACGTTTTACAGCATCAGAGCTGGATAAATCCCTGAACACCATCCAAGTTTTACCTATCAGAAAACAGAGCTAGGTGTGGAAGTGCACACCTATAACCTCAGCTATTTCAGAGACTAAAATAGGAGGATTACAAGTCATGTGTCACCATACCCAGCTATCAGTTTTTGTTCTGTGGAGACTAAACCCAGTATCTCTCGCCAAGTGCTACACCACGGAGCCACACCCCAACCCCCTCAGTTCTCTTTAGAAGCAATATCCTCCCTCTAAAACCTGAACTAGTCAACCCAGTTTTAAGAAAAGCCAATCAGATTAGAATTCCAAAGGTAGAAAACAGATAACATAATGTGTGTTATATAAAGGTTGCTCTCTGAGAATGAAAAAAGTTATGTTGCTAGGAATGAAAAGTTTTACCTTGAATTAGAAAGTTCTTATCTTGAGCCAGACATGGTGGGGCCTAGCTGTAGCAGGGGATCAAAGCTCAAATACAGCCTAGGCAAGTTAGAGAGACCCTGTTGCAAAATTAAATGAAAAGGTCTGGGGATGTAGCTCAGAAGTAGACAACTTGCCCAGCAGGTGCAACACCCTGGGTCAATCCCCAGCACTAAAAAAAAAAAAAATATCTTGTCTTTGAAAACTAAATATGTTGTCTTGAGCAAGTATTGTTCTCTCTTTGGGTTTCAGTTTCCTTTATCTATGAAGGGTTTACTTATTTATTTATTTTAGTAGTGGGGATTGAACTCAGGGACTCTCTTGAGTCAGGTTCTTGCTCAGTTCCTTAGGTCTCTTAGAGGTTTAGAGAAGAACCTCTTCTTTCAGCAGGGTATGGTGGTACAAGTCTGTAATTTCAGTGGCTCTGGAGGCTGAGGCAGGATGATGCCAAATTTGAGGCCAGCCTCAGCAATTTAGTGAGACCCTAAACAACTGAGAAACACTCTACCTCAAAATAAAAAAATAAAAAGGGCTGGGGATGTGCTTCAGTGGTTAAGTGTCCCTGGGTTCAATTCCTACTGGCAATAAATAAATAAAATTAAACTATATTCTAAAGGATGTAGCTCGGTGGTATAGCCCCTCTGGGTTAAATCTCCAATTCCAAAACCATACCAAACCACCTATTAGTTTCAAAATCTTATCATAGCATCCTCATTGAAAGATTCAGGAATAGAGTCCTGCATGGGAAAGGAGATAATTCTATTCATGTATGTTTGTATTTGTATTTATTCATTGGTACTGTGGATGGAACCCAGCAGTGCTTCATCAAAGAGCTACATCTCCAGCCTTTCTGATTTTTATTTTGAGACAAGATCTTGCTAAGTTGTCCAGACTGGATTCCAACTTAAAATTCCCCTGCCTCAGCTCCCAAGTCACTGGGATTATAAGCATGTACCACCATTCATGGCAGATAATTCTCTTAAAAGTATATATATATATATATATATATATATATATATATATAGACACACACACACACATATATGAGAATGTTGAAATTTATAGAAAATTATGCAGACAGTACAGAATTACCAAATACCCTCTTCCAACACGGTTTCCTCAATTGCACTCATTACCATTGAACCAATGCTGTTATAGTTTTAACTCGGGTCCATAGTTCACATTGACATTCATTCTTTTTTAAAAAAATATTTTTATTAGTTATTGATGAACCTTTATTTACTTATTTGTTTACATGTGGTTCTGAGAATTGAACCTAGTGCCTCACACATGCTACTCTACCACTGAGCAACAATCCCAGCCCCTGGCCTTCACTCTTAATGATGGTTTGGTCCGTGGGTTTGGTCAACTGCAAAATATCCAAGTATCTACCATTGTGATATTATACTGACCTGGAAATCCCTTGTACTCCAGTAGTTGGTTCCAGACATAATTCACTTTCATCTTTGACAGTCTATTAACCCAGCTCCCTGGCTGCCAAAGCCACGCAGCTGGTCTCCTGGGCCCTGCAAGAGGTGGCAGCAGAGTGGTAGCCGCGTGGGTTGAAGTGTGCAGCGAGCATAGCTTGCAACCCCACGGAGCCGGCCATACAGGCACAGCAGGCCTGAGGCCCACCAGCCAGTGCCAAGGCAAGCCAGCGTACACAGACCTGTCATGCCCGGGCAACCAAGCCTGGGCACAGCATGAACACCTGCTACAAAGCCTGCTCCAGGCAGCAACACAGCCCCATCCAAGGGCCTCAACCTCCCACTTCCTGGAGAAAATGAAATGGGGCATAAGGAATGGAACTCAAAATGGATAAATGACCATAGGGTTAATACATTTCCAAACCCTAATTAGCATAAGTTTGGACCAATAGCCAAGAACCAAGTACTACATAAACCACACTTGAGGCCCTTTGGAGTTCCATTTTGCACTCTAAGAGTTCTGTCTGTATTTCTTTCTTTCTTTCTTTTTTCTCCTTGGTACTGAGTCTTGAGTCCAGGGGCCCTTAACCAGTAAGCTACAACCCCAGCCCTTTTTTATATCTTATTTAGAGACAAGGTCCTGCTGAGTTGGGCCTTGTGAAGTTGCTGAGGCTGGCTTTGATCTTGCATGCACACCCCAAACCCCGGCTCTAGTCTTTAATAAATCCTACTCTTACACTCATTCATCCTGGTCTGTGGGTTTTTTTCTTCCAATTCAGGAGGTAAGAATCCTGAACGAGGAAGCTGATGGGAGGCTGCTGGGATCTGCTGCAACACTGGCGGACATGGCCTGACATTAAGTGCTGCAACATTTCTGGGCTACAGAGGCCTGTGGTTTGTACAGACTCCACCTGCCAGCAAATGCAGTTCTCCCTGGCATCCCACGTGGGTGGTGGGAATGGAATTCCCCTCAGTGGAATGGGCCAGCTGAGAAATAAAAGATAAGAAAATAGAATGTTGAAAAAAACACAGGACACAGAAAGTAGTTTCAAAAACTGGGGGCAGGATGGGATAGCCAATCATACGGATAGGGCTTCTATACTCTGGCAAAATGGAGCCCAGGCTTGCTTTTTTTTATATCGGGAACATCAGACAGGGATAAGGTTTCCAGGGCCGAGTCTTGCTTCAAGGTTTCTTGCAGTCAGCAGGTTCATTGATATCTTGTCAGGTCACACCCATCTGAGGTGCTGTGTGGGATTTCTGGCAGAGCTTAAGGGGGAGGTTCACCTGCATCAGGCAATCAATCCCGGTGGGGGTGCCACAGGTGGTTCCCAATACCAGATTTATCCCCTCATTAGGCTACTATGTGCAACATAGTCCACACACAGCCCACAGCTTGTGACAGGCAGTGAATCAAATTCCATCTCAAAACTCTGGTTTCATTATGATATTAAATATTTATGGGAAAGAGAATCATGGCCAGGCATGGTAGCCCACACCTGTAATGCCAGCAACTTGGGAGGCTGAAGCAGGAGGATTGCAAATTGGAGGCCAGCTGAGGCCTCCTGTTTCAAAATAGAAAGGACTGGGGAATCCATGCATGCATAGGTTTGTCAAAATAAACACAAATATAATATATAACCATAAAGCTCAAAACAAATAAATAAATAAGACTGGGAATGTAGCTCTGTGGTAAAGCACCCCTGAATTCAATCCCTAGTAGTGGAAGTAGGAGGAGAAGAAGGGAAGAGAGGTAGGTAGGTAGAAAATAGGGATGGGAGGAAAAAGGGGGACGGGGAGAAAGGAATGTGGAGATCAGATTGCCACATCCTGAGCACTGTTGGCATTTAGGACCAGGAACTAAAGTTCTTCAAAGAAGCTGCATCTCTATTAAATATCCTATAGATGTCTGAACTTGGCTGACTAGAACATCAGAATTGTGGAGAGATGGAATGTTGCAAGTCAAGAGCCAAAATATCTTAGGCTATCTTAGACTCTAAGAATCATTTGGTAATTAGTAGATAAATATTTTAGAATATATCACTAAGCTTAGCTGACTTCTAGCCTCCACCAACCCTAAAGCTAATAATTCTGTAAGGAGACATCTATAACCTATGAAAGAGGTTTCTCAGGTTCACTATATCCTGTCTACCTGTCCTTGGATGTAATTGATAAATAATAAATTGATTTATAACTTACTTTAAAGAAATTTTCTTAGTCATTTGGGATCTTTAAGCATGCAGAAGAACCAGTATTTTCATATGAATAAAATTCAGTATTTAGGTGTAAATGAATGCCATTCCTTTTAAAATTTTGATTCAAAGACTTTTGTTCTGTGACCATACAAGTTCACATAATCTCTTCCGTGATGAAACGTCACTCAGGGGCATGTTGAGTCCTTGGTCCATCGAAACCAAAGTTTTGAGATGAAACTTGATACTCTGCTTCTGCTTCTTGGTGAGACTGGAGTTTCTCCACATTTGCTGGCAGGTGGGGCCTGTGTGCATAAGTTTTCTGGGCTCTGCTGCCAAAGTGTCCCAGCTCTGAAGGGCAGGCCATAGCCTCTGGTATTGCAATAAACCCAAGGAGCTCACCATCAATTTCTTCTTCTTCCAAGGTTCTTGCAAAATTGAAGAAGAAATCCACAGACCAGGATGAATGAATTTAAGAATAAAATTTAGCCAGGCGCAGGGCCGCATGCCTGCAATCCTAACAGCTCAGGAAGCTGAGGCAAGAGGATGGCGAGTTCAAAGCCAGCCTCCTCAATGGCAAGGCCCTGAACAACTCAGTGAGACCCCCTGTCTCTAAATAAAATACAAAAGAGGGCTGGGGATGTGGCTCAGTGGTCGAGTGCCCCTGAGTTCAAACCCCAGTGCCCCCCCTACCCCCACCAAAAAAGTAAAACTTACTGACAGAAGTCTTGCAGGACAAGAAGAGACCCGATAACATATTTTCTGCTACTAAATGTGATGGTCTAGGGGTTTATATAGCTTTTGGTTTGCTGCTATTGGTCCAAACTTATGCTAATTAGGGTTTGAAAATGTACTAACGCTATTGGTCAACTCTCAATTCCCGACTTCCCTTGTTCCGGGAGGGTCCGCCTCCATTTTCCCTCCTCAGTTCCGGTAGCTCGAGGTTGAGGGCCATAGATTGAGGTCGTGAGACCGTCTATGCTCACAGTTTCTGGGCTGTAGTGCTATGTGAAGTGGCTCCTGCCCCAGGCGTCATTACCACACCTAAGCCTGGACACTTAAGGGTGACAGGTGGGTACACTTTAAAGCGCTGTGCCTCAGGCCCCCCACACCTGCTTGGCGGCTTCCACAGGCCGGTGGCCATGTTTGCCACGCTCAAGCCCCCGAGGGCCACTGCTCGTCAGGGACCAGTAGGCCAGATGCATGGCTTGGTCACCAGAGAACTGTGTCACCGGGGACCATGGTCCCTCATATTTGGCCCAGAATAAAATTTAATTGAGTGTCCACATACTTTATGTACAGAGATACGAAAATTGTGGTATACGTGTGTATGAAGAATTACAATGCAAAAAAAAAAAAGAATAGCGTTACCTGAGATTAGGTTGAGGGAAGTGAAAGGAGGAGAAGGCAGGGAATGTGGGGATAAGAAGGTAGAATGAAACAGACATTATTAATGTATATGACTGTATGACCAATGGGATTCTACAATATGTATCCTCAGAAAAATGAGAAATTATATCCCATCTATGTAGGATATACCAAAGTATATAAGTGCATTCTACTGTCACATATAACTAAAACAAAAACTTAGGTCATATAATATATTATATGGATATCATATTAAAAAATAATGTAACTGTGGTCCGTTTTATGCTTTCAATATGGCCCTTGCTGCTCTGCCACTGCAACTTATTTTTAAAATGGATATATTTCTTTCTCTTCCTCTCTCTCTGCTCTTCCCTTATATCTACCCCTCCCTAATCTCAGAGCAAATAGGATTACCTTTCTTCCCCATTTTTGGCAGATTTATCTGTCCCCCAGTTCATACCCAACATAGAAAGAAAGTAATTCAGATTTTGGGGATGGCACAGAAGATCTCAGAAATGACTATCTCCCAAATCAACCAGTGAGTTACGAGTCTGAACAGAGAACATGTGGAATGTAGCCTCTGAGTCACCTGTTTAAAAGTGTCCTGTTCCTGATGATGGGCAGAGTCATAACCTCTGGGACAGGAGTCTCCTGTGCTTGCTTCTCCTTTGCTAGCAAAGCAATAAACCTTCCTTTTTCTCAAAACTGTGTTCTCATTTTTTTTTTTTTTGATTGGCATCAGGGTCAAGGACTGAGCTTTTGGTAAAGATAGGGATAGATAATTGTTTTGTGAGGAGTGGTTCTGATCACTGTGGGATGCTCAGCAGCAGCCCTGCTTTTATCTATCATATGCCAATAGCAATCCCACCCCGTCTACAGGGGTGACCACACACACACACACACACACACACACACACACACACACAAATGTTTCTAAGCCAAAGCTAGTGGCACTCGGTCTGTGATCCCAGTTGCGAGTGAGGCAGGAGGATCACAAGTGTGAGGCCAGCCTCAGCTACTTAGCCAAACTCTGCAAAATTTAAAGGGCTGGAATGTAGCTCAGTGATAGAGCGTCCTCATTTTCAATCCCCAGTACCACAAAATAAATAAAACATTATGGGGGAAAGGCACAATTGCCCCTCAGTTGAAAAATGCTGGATTAGACAACAGTTTGTTTTTTTGAAGTTTTTTTTTTAATTTTTTATCTCCCACTGTCCCTTCCTTTATTTAATATATTTTTTTTTTTGTGGTACTAGGAAATTAACTCAAGAGGTGCTTTACCACTGACCTACATCCCCACCCCTTTTTATTTTTAATTTTGAGACAGGGTCTCACTAAGTTTCCAAGGCTGGACTTGGATCTTGAGATCCTCCTGTTTCAGCCTCCCAAGTAGCTAGGATTATAGGACTGGGCCACCATATCTGTTCTGTTGTTTTGTTTTATTTGATCTTATTTCATTTTATGGTACTGGGGATCGAACTCAGGAGCTCTCTAACACTGAGCCACATCCCCAATCCTTTTAATTTTTTGTTTTGTTTTGTTTTGAGACAGGGGCTTGTTAAATTGCCCAGGTGAGGCCTGCGACTTTGGATCCTCCTGTCTGTCTTCAGAGACGCTGGAATCACAGGGGTCACCTCACTACTGGCAAGAGTCAAGATCAGAACCCTGTTCCCCAGAGTTGAAGGATGAACACGAAGAATGGCACCAAGGTAAGCAAGCATGCAAGCATTTTATTAAAAAAGAAAGTGAGAAAAAGACTCAGAACCCCCAGCAGCAGCACACCTGGGAGGGCAAGTGTGCTGTTTGAATCTTACGGTGCTCCTGGTGCTCCTTTTAATGGCATCTGAGGAAAAGTTGATAGAGCTCCTTTTGATTGATTTTTGATATTTCAATTACCCTGTGGCAGGCTTGGGCGGATTATAGATTATACACTTGCTTTCATGGAGATGGAGATTTTCGCTCTTTCTGAGAAACAGGAACTGTTTTATAACATGTTGGGGCATGTTGGGATGGCTGTCTGGTACTTGCCCTCTTGTCAACCTTTACTGTCCCTTCCCTACTCTCCATTTCCCCACTCTGATAAGGAAACCCTTGCTGGTATAAGGGAAATTGGGCAGTGACTTCTCTAGATGCCTCAAGCTGAGAGGGGGCGATGACTGGTAAGCTGTTTGGTTTTCCCATCAAGTCGATTGAGAGGTTCATGGTAGAAGTCATCTGTGATGCTCATGGGTAGACTCATCTCCACTACTATCTGCAGGTTAATGGATTCCAGCTTGTTAAAAGAGGAATTTGAGATCTCTTACTGGTTCACAGGTGTATGGAGGAGATTTATATGGTGGGGGTTTGAAGTACTCCAGTCCAGTTTTAGAGTTAGATATCCATCATTTAACTCTGGAGTGGCGAATCCAGTTACTTTTACTGCAGAGGGGGTGGGGAAAAATCACAGAAAAAAGTCCCTTCCAGATAGGGTGTGGATCAGGGGAATTTGAGGGTATCAGTCTTGACCATTACTATGTAAAACAGAAATTCTGGTGGTCCATTTTCAGAATACAGTATTTACCTTGAAATGACTTGGGATGTCACAAAGTTAGCTGGAGGAATGGAAAGTTACAAGCAATCAACACCAGAGGGTTAAAAATTCACAGCCTTTTGCTGGATATGGTGGCTTATGCCTATAATCCCAGTGGCTCAGGAGGCTGAGGCAAGAGGATCACGTGTTCAAAGCCAGCCTCAGCAATTTAACAAGGTGCTAAGCAACTCAGTGAGACCCCTCTCTAAATAAGATACAAGATAGGGATGGGGATGTGGCTCAGTGGTCGAGTGCTCCTGAGTTCAATCCCTGATACCCATCCCCCGAAAAATTTCACAGCCTCTTAATAAACAGGAGGTGAAAAGGAAGTCCCCCTGCACCGAACCAAAAAAGATAAACTGTGCAGGTGCCAAAAGGCATTCAATCCAAGGGGATTTTCCCCACCAGGAGGGACCAAAGTGAGGCGGAGACAATGAAAGACTATGTTTCTTTAAATAACCCAATAGGAGATAGTGAAGTCCACCAATGAGTAGTAGTCAAGTACCCTCTTTCCCTGATAACTGTCCATGCCAAAGATTGTGAGGTCATCCCTGACCAATGGGCAATGACTCGTGGGCAGTGTTACCCATGACAATGAGCAGGTACCCTTGCATCAGAGATAAAGGCCAAACACACCTGCTTTGTTTCTTTTTTTTTAAATATTTTTTTAGACATTGATAGACCTTTATTTTCTTCATTTGTTTTTATGTGCTACTGAGAACCCAGTGCCTCACACATGCTAGGCAAGTGCGTGACCACTGAGTCACAATCCCAGCCCCAGTTTTGGTTTTGATTGCTCTGCCCACTTCTGTGTTTGGAAGTAAAATTCTTGCCCTGTTCACAGAGCTGATTAGGCTCCTAGTGTTTATTTTTGCTCCTGGGGTGTCCAGGACCCCCAATATTTCCAACATTATTAAGTCACCAGGGTAAGACTGGAGAAATAAGTGGCTCATGTGCAGGATACTTACAGATTTCAGTTTGGAATTTGGCTAGGTTTGTGATACGAGATACCAAGTCAACACCTTCTTGATCTTTAAGGGTATCATTTTTTAAAAAATGGCTTCCCGTATAAGAGCTCAAACTGACTAAGTCCTAACATTCCTAGGGTATTTCTGATTCTGAACAGGGCTAGAGGAAGCATCTTAGGTCAAGGATACCGACTTTCTTGAGTGAGCTTCCTCAAATGCATGGTTAGATTATTATTAGCCGTTTCTATCTTCCCCGATAACTGAGGTCTTCAGGCACAGTGAAGACGATATTCTATATCTAAGGCTTTTGCTATTCCCTGAGTGACAGCTGCCTTGAAAGCTGCTCCATTATCATCACTTTGAAGGCTGCAGGGCAATCCAAGTCCAGGGACAATTTCTTGTAGTAAAACCTTTGCCACTTCTCCCACTTGTTCAGTTCTGAAGCGGAAAACCTCAACCCACCCAGTAAAGGTATCTGTCATGACTAGCATCCTGGAATCCACTGCTCTTAGACATGAATGAAATCAAGTTGCCAATTCTTTCAGGGAATTTTCCTGCTCTCTTCAGTCCTAGAGGCCTTTTTAGTAAAGTGGGTTATTTCTTTGGCATATTTGCCTTGACTACCTGATGAACAGTTTTGGGTGTGACTTTTCCTTCAAATAACTCTTTGAGTTATCTTAAGAGTATTTTCTACTCCTAAGTGAAAAGACTGATAGAGTGTATGTAGAATTTTCCATTGGGAGTTAGCAGGTGAACAAAGTTTATTATTTTCTGTCTGTATCCATCTGGAGGGAAGGGGAGCCCCTCCTCTAGATAAAGCATATTGTAGTTCTTCCCAAATACATTGAGGTCTTCTATCCAGGGAAGGTTCAGTCCAAAGTAAAGGAGATAAGTGTGATGGCTGACATAGTTCTCCCTTGGATACCTCCCTGGCTTATTGGTTACCTATTACTTTCTGATATTTCATCTATTCCCTTTGGTGTACCCAGTAGTGAATTACTGCTACCTGTCTAGGTAATGGACAGCTTCCAATAATTTCAAGACCTGCTTATAGATTCAGATCATCTCCAAAAATGCTCGGCTGCCTTTAAGACAGTCTCCTTTTCATTAGAGGTCAAAATTTGGTTAAATAATAACATAATAGCCTTCCAGGTAAGACTGAACACCTGATATGAGTTTTGGAACACCTCAATATATTTATCTGAATCCTCTGAGAACTTCCCTGAGCCCATCTTTATTTGCCTCAGGTCTTGAAGGGGAAAAGGAACCCCAGCCTTGGTTGGCCCAAATCCCGCTCCTGGCATTACCTGTAGCCGCAGTATGTTTTATCCTCCTCTAGGGGTAGATGATAGGGGTCCTAGATAGGAAGGACATGAGAGCTGCTGGCAGAGTTAGTAGGGGTTGGGAATCCTTGGGCTTTCCCTGGCTTTTCTACCCTGGCAGGTATCTCCTTAGACTTTTGATCATGGCAGCAGTCCTAACTGGGTCCAGCTTGCACTGCTGATAGAATGTGGGGTTCTCCCTTAGAGAAAAAAGAAAAAAAACAACCCTGAACGTAGTGGACCTCAGACCATTTTCCTTCCTTTGTTCAAAACAAACGGAGATGCAAGATAGTATTAAAGTTTAGACTTCCCTCTGCAGCCATGAGTCTCCATCAGAGTTTGAATTGAGGCCACACCTGACAGCAGAAGACAATCAGATGCTTTTTCCTGAGTGTCTGTGGATCAAACTTGCCCAGTTTTTCAGTAGGCAGGCTAGTGTTGAACCGGGCACTACCTTTGAGGCTGATGCTCCCATCTGGATAAAAGAAAACAGAACTCCGGCGCCACACCATGGGAACCACCCACTCTCATAGGGACGAGTCCCTGGAGAGCCCCTTGGAGGAGGTTGGCAATCCTGCCCCTCTAACCAACCCTACATAACTAGCCCTTATTACTGCTTTCTTTTTCTTTTTTTTTTTGAACTGGGAATTGAACCCAGGGACACTTAACCACTTAGCCACATCCCCAGCTCTTTTTCCATTTTATTTAGAGACAGGATCTCACTAAATTATTTAGGACCTCACTAAGTTCCTGATTCACTTTGAATTTGTCATCCTCCTGCCTACCTCAGCCTCCAGAGCTGCTGGGATGACAGGTGTGCACCACTGTGCCCAGCTATTGCTGCTTTACCAGTTAAGTTCCTCAGATCTTCTCATTTCCAAGTGAAAAACACACCGGGGGAGCCAGGCTTAGCAGACCTTCCTGGTCTCCTGTGGCCCCTGTTGGATTTCCAGATCCAATGAATGAAATGAAATATCGACCAGCCCTGGAATGTCTTCCTTTGATTCATGTGTCTACAAGATTGGTGGGCACAGGAGAATTAACTCTCATTTCCAGCAAGGTCCAAGGAGTCTGTGTAAGGCCAGGGTCATCAAAAACAAAGGATCATTTTAAAGGGGTTTTTAACTTACAATCTGGATTCTAGGCACCCCAGGTTGTCTCAGAGGACCTTCTTTGGAGAAATTTCAGGAAGAATTTAATTAATAGGTTATGAGCCTGATGGGCTTGGAGATACCCAGAGGAATAAAGCTGAGCTTCCTTTGGGGGAGGATGAGAATGTGTATCCCCTAGATCCTTAAAGAAGCAAAAGAGACAGTGCCTCCCCTTCCCTGACAGGCAAAGAAATTAGAGACATGTGGGAGTTCAGAAACAATGGCAAGGATCATATTCTTTTTTTAAAATCTTTATTTTATTTGTTTATTTATTTATTTTTTTATGTGGTGCTGAAGTTCGAACCCAGGGCCTCACACGTGCTAGGCATGCACTCTACCGCTGAGCCACAACCCCACCCACGAGGATGTATTCTTGGCAAGTCCACAGACCTTCAATATGTGAGAAGAGAGAGCCCGAACTTATCCCTAAACTTGGTGCAGTGGCACAGGCCTGTCATCCCAGCGGCTCAGCAGGCTGAGGCAGGAGGATCTCAGATTCAAAGTCAGCCTCGGCAATTTATTGAGGCCCTAGGGAGGGGCAAGAGTGCTGGTTAAGTCTTACAGCACTCCTTCTGTTAAAGGCACAAAATAAGAAGTTGATCTGCTCCTCTTGATCTGTTTTGGATATTTCAATTTTCCCGTGATATGTGGGCTGGAATACGGATTATACAGTGGCTTTTGTCCCAGAGCATATCAGGG